AAATCAACCTCAGACAACTCCAGAGATGAAAGTTTCATGAACAAAGCACCAGCTTTGGTTCCGCATTGGTGCAGGCCTGGTGAAAGAAGCCTTAAATCTTTGCTTTAGTATCAAGAAATGATTAGTCACACTTCATACCCTCAGTGAAAACAGACTGAATAGAGATATTGTTGCTACTGGGTTTATAGCCTTACTACTGCAACAATTTGATGCAGAAGTCAGTCCCTCATTTCCTGCCCCTCACACATTCAGTCTGCACTGGGATGTGCTCAGTAGGTGCTGTGGAGATATTCTGACATAATATGACTCCAAAGTAAATGTTATCTGATTCAAATAATTTCTCTGTTACCCAGTCCTTATTGTTCTCTTTTCCACACATTTCACTGCCTTTGATGAAAGACCAGTTCCTGTTGCTTCTTTTACGGTGGGATATGCAGGATGTTGGGCATCATGAGAGAGGCATCCCTGAAGCTCTGGAAGGCTTCAAAGTGGGGATGAAAACCAGTCAGTTTACCTACAGATCTTTTCAAAAGAAGTTACACATTTTATCCACTCCCTTGTTTCCCCAGAAGGCAGAGGTTTGGTGGGTTTTTTCTAAATGCCTTTTTTTTTTTTTTCCCCACTAAAAGACCTGACAGCTGGAGATGTAATGCTAGTTTTATTCTCTCAGATTAGCAAATTCTGAAGTTTAAATTGTGGCCAGTCACTTCTAGGTTTGCATTAAAAGCACACCGCGCATGCTGCCCTTCTCTGACAAATGACAGACTTTTTCACAGTTTTTCTCTTAGCAGCAGATATTGAAAAGCAAGGGTACGTTTCATTTTGCCTATTTGTGAAGTGATCCAAAAAAAGATTTTGTCTTTCAGTGACAATGTAGGAATTATTTTTAGATTAACACTTATAAATTAATGCTCACATTATCACATTAATGTTCACACTATCAGCAAAACACTTTTAAAGATATAAGTTATTCCTTTATCCTATATTACCTTTTGATACTACTAGCTTTTGTCCTAACAACAATTTCAACTACAAGTATTCAGCAAAACTAATGCAAGAGTAAGTTCTTTAATTGTATTAACAGCTAACAAGCTACCAACTATTTCTCAGTTAAATAAGGAGGAAAAAAAAAATAAAATAAAATGGTAGGACTTTATTTCTAATAAAACCTCTTCAAAAAGGTTGAGCTGCAGCTGAAAGTTTACCAGTGACAATAAACATTTTACTGTGAGGTTTGTGATTTTTTATATTAAGTGAAAAATTTCACTAACTTTATTAATAAACAACAAGCAGCTGTATTGCACTTAACAACTGATCACCCATTTCCACTCAAAAAGTTCCCTGTTTAGGTTAGCATTTTGTTCAGCAATTGTGGTACTAATTATCTCACTAATTGCTAAATTTGCCACTTAAAAATGAAACAATATAACAGCACTGAAAAAGTAAGCTGAATCTCCAACACTCTGAAATTAAAGCACTGAGCACTAAGGACTGGTAAAAGGACCATGTCACTTTATCTGCCTCCCTGTATCTAATAAATACTTTCTGTTTACAATTCCAGCATTATCATATTTGGGCTTATCTGTTTCTCTGTGAAAGAAAGCCTGCAAAAATCTAATAACCTAATTTATGTGCCATACACAGTTCATACAGTATTTTGCTGCCCAGCTAACTTCAAAATCCAGCTTTAATAGTCTTACAAAGAAATCCAGATTGCTTTTTCCTTCGAACTAAAAAGTTGTGCTTGCCTCTTTAGGTACTTCTGTATCCTTTGTAGTTGCGTTAACATGTAATTGGTTGTTACTCTTAAGTAATCATTTTTATGGAACCGCATTACAAACAATTTGCTCCAAGACTTTTAAAGAACCATTCATTGCGAGAGGCATGGCTGGTACATATTAGGCCTTCCAGTTGTAGCAACTGAAATATTCCACTGCATTCCCCTGGTCTTCCCTGGAAACAGGGTATCTGGTTTCTACGCTTGTGTAATTGCATGGTTCAGATCTTTTCTTCCTATTGTAAAATCAGATTTGGTCCATTTTATTCCTCATGTTGCTCTCTCAGTTCTCTCACTACCCATAATCAACAGTTTCTTAGCAGTCAAAAAACATTTTTTAATCATAGTTGAATTTAATAGTCAATTTTAAAAATGCAAGACTTAGCATGATGATGATTCATGTAGAAGAAAGTGAATCAGAAACTCTTATTTCTATTTCTGTTACTGAGCCTGGAGCTAGTGATACTTAGCAAGATTACTGATTGGCTATATTTTTTAACTGAAATTTCATTGTTTGAGCATCCCATTGCATATTATTAATGCCTTAAGAATTTTTAAATTCCCCAGATCAGTTCTGCACAATCAAATGCAGTTACTGAGAAAAAAGACTTAGATGCATTTAAGAGAACAGTTAGACCTCACAAAAACATGAACTTCCTGGAATGTATTTAGACAGTGACATCTCACTACTCCCCACATTACTGACGGTGAATAAAGGTCTTAGTGTAGTTTGAAAAAAAATAATTATCAAAACAGGTATAAGAAAATAAATATTAAAAAACAAAGACCCAAGAGTTAAAGCTCAGTGGAATTTCTCTTGGCTACAGAGACTATGTTCTGTAGAAGTAGTACAGGTAAATTTACAGCATAAAGAGAACCCAGAAGCAGAGAAAATGTCCACAGTGGTTTGTGGGAAAAAAAATATTTGCTTTCTCATTTTCCTTCTGATGGCAGTTATCCCTTGTGCCAAATTAATCTCAGAATTTTTTACTCCATCCTTTTTTCTTCCATCAAAGGCATATTAATGCCAGGCCTCAGTTCTTACCAGAAACAAGAGGGGCTTGCAAGTAAAGAAAGTTGGATTTTGTTGGGCAATATTTTCACAGTTCGCAAGCCAAAGAGATTCAGAAACTTGAGAAAGACATGGTGCCAAAGAGATTCAGAAACTTGAGAAAGACATGGTAAGGTAATAATTACTTTAACTGGTATGGGGCAATGTGCTGTTCACACACACTTCTCCAAATGAAATAGTTTCAGCATTGTCTAAATTTTTACATTGCCATGTTTCCTTATCTATACCATGTTTTAGAGAAGGAGAATATTTCACCTACCTCCAGGACCCTCTTACTGCTAAAATTCATACGTTTAGAGGTCTGACTAAACCTGTTAAAGTACCTATCGAGGCACCAGCACTTTCCCCTGACACTTGTTCAGCACAGGACCACCCATTTTTTCCTGTGGCTGTGCGAAGCCTGGTCTGTTTCTATTAATCCTTTTGAAGTAGCAGATTGTTTTATATTGGGTTTGCTCTGTTAAAGGCTGCAGCACTGTAGATTCTGCCCTCTTACTGAGCTGCTTCTTGCTGGCCTTCGTAAATTCAGGAGAGTCACCATCCTGGAAAAGCTGAAGGAAGCCTTATCCACAGTTTCAAGTCCAGGACTGAAGGCACAGACTGGGACTATTTTCACAATTCTACTTCATGCTCTGCTTCCAGTAGAACTGTTTTATGTGTTTCAGATCATGCTAGTTTAACCCAATAAATGCCTAGAAATCTGCTGCACAGTCACATTGCAAGGATGTATATTGCCTAAACCTGGACAAGTATCTTTTTGCTTGCTTTGTTGCCCCAGTGTGTTTCCCTTGGATTCATCAGTGTTATTTCAGTACACGCGAGCAGCCTACAAGCTAAAAATTACCTAACAATTTGCAGGGCAGCCCATGAGGAAGCAGAACTAAAATGCTAATTAGGGCATGTTGTAGCTCTTGGACAGGAGGCAGCGGGTAGAAGGGCTGAAAGGCACAAGAACTAAAGCACGGTGGGGTGGATGGTGGGGAACTGCCTGTATGTGTGCCCCAGAGATCCCAGGCATGCAGCGATCCCACTGCAGGCTGGCTTTGTGTTAAACCAGTTGTTGCTCATGTGGTGTGCATCTAGAAACCAAGCAGAACTTGCATGCTCCACATGCTTCAGGAAATGTGTGTGGAGGTTTTCAGGGGAACGATGATCGGAACAGACACAAACAAGCCCTGAGCTGTTGTGAAAATAGTTATCTATGTAGTCATGCCCCAAGTTTGAGAAAAGCAGGGAGCTTTCTTCCTCCCTGGGCATTTACATCTGGTTACTGGTGGACACTTGGTTTTGGTTTTCCATTTTCTCCCTGTGTGGGTTCCTTCTGCCTTATATGTGTCCAGAGCTGACAGGAAATTGCAGTTACAATCTTTTCAGCTACTTTAATCATAATACTGCATTACAGTGATGTTACTCAATGATTCTAGTGAATTAGGACCAGGGAGGAAGTATTCAAAAATAAGAAATATCACTATAATACAAATTTATTATTATTCCTGACAAACCTGCTGCCCTGCTCCTCAAGACCTTCCACAAGCTGGGAAGTATAATTACTGCCACATGGCTACAGTCATTGACCTAGTCATTCTGGGCAATGCAGCTCGCACCTGCCAGAGCATCACTTTTAAGCAATGTGTTGTCCACCTTGCACATTGTTACACACTGCTTATGCAAAGGCTAACAATCAGGCACAGACTGAAATGACTTTCCCCCGTTGCAGTACCAAGCGCTCTCAAAGCATTTAAATGTAATACAATTATTTTTTCCTATCCTATTCAGTCTCTGCCAAAATTTTCAAATAGTCCGAAGTCCTACATATTACAATTATGTTAGTCTTGCCTAACTATCAGTCAGATTATGGTCAGATGTTACCATGTATTAATTCAAACAAATTTTCTACAGTTTTGGGCCAAATGCACAACAGTGGAAATGTTGTGAATGCGTGATGAACTAGGTAGAAGATTCAAGACCTTCATGATTTTTAGCAAAGAAAAAAATTCTAGTTTGTTTGAAAGATGCTCTTATAAAACATATCTTTATTCTTTAGTTATAAAATGCTGTTAACAGTCTAATTAGCATTTTTATGCAGCCCTTTGTGAGAAACCTAAGTGAGAAAATAGAAGCAGCTAACTCTGGGTTTTCTTTGAATTTCAGGTATTGTGGCAGTCCTTTTCTGTGGAGTCACACAGGCCCATTATACCTACAACAATCTGTCATTGGATTCCAAAATGAGAACTAAACAGGTAGGGCATGGAAATAACTGACTCTGTGTCTTCAACTGGTGTAAGTAATAGACAGAGGTACCGGAATATAGCTGGATGGGATTTCTTAATACAAAGGAAAAGACTGGAGATTTTGCCAGCAAAACGGTAACAATTCTCTGGATAAGCACAAAATATAAGAATCTGTTCTTCCCCAGAGACCTGAAATGTCAGTTGAGGAGATAACAGTTTACGCTAGCTTCCATACAAAAATGCTACAAAGTTAAGGAAATCAAAGAGCTCTGGGAAGTGAGAGATAAGTGGTCTGAGGGATTGGATCCATGTGGATTTTTTCAGAGGAACTGTAGAAATTGCAGTCTGGCCCACAGACTTGAGCAATGATATCATTTAATTTCTACCTCATTAAAAGTCTGATGTAATTAGAAAGACTGATTTTTTTCCATTGTGTTATTTAGAGTTTCGAGACAAGAGAAATTTGGTCATCTGTTTTTTGTTTAAACAGGTGACTAGTGCAATTGTGTAATTATTTTTTAAAACTTGGGGCTGTTCTCAGTACTAGATATATGGCATTGCAATGTTCAAAGTACTTTTCAGCACAAGGAGTAATTTTAGACTACCTCGCCACTACCTAGATCCAGTGAGAAGTCATTTAAATGCAGTTTTCTTCCCTTTTAATGTTGACTCGTATATCCCGAGAACCCCAGGTTGTAGAAAATCTATCTCCTAGAACAAAAATGAAGCATATGGTCCAAGACCATCATTTTCATGATGCAATCTGGTACCTTTTTCAGCAATTCCTCTGTTTTAAGCATTGGAAATTTTATGTAGAAAATTTCATCACTTCTTGCACATCTCAATTTAATCAAAAATCCAATTTTCTATCAAAACCAGTTTGATAGAAACAATACTGGCCACAGTATCAGTTCAACTGTCAGACTCTCTCAGATTTTAAATCACAAAAAAGTTTCTGGGTAGTTCTTCCAGAATAAGGTGTTAGCTATTGAACAGGGTAAGTCTTCTCAATTGCATTTCTTCACACCAGCAGAGGCTGATGCTTTCAAAAAGTATTCCAGCAGAGAAGAGAACCTTTCTCTGATAACTGTATCATTTGGAGAATAACATTTAAATCTGCTACAGAATTGTTTCTATTTTGCAGAAATACTGAATTGGGTATGCCATTACTACCCTTGCGTATAACTGTTACAATTTGAATACAAGGCTTTTTCAGGGATTCATCTGCATGATTTAGTGATGCATAGCCTCAGAGAAAGAGAAAAAGAAAGGCCATGGTATTTTTATTACCTATGAACCCTCTCAACTACAGAATTAACTGACATTTAGTTTAAATGTATACTGGTTTTGTTCGTGTTTACTTTTTTAATTCCCTCCCATTCAACAGTGCAAAACAAAATAGTGAATATAAACTGAATACCCTTGAACAGAAAAGGGATTATGTGTTTCTCTATGGAGCTACGAGTTTTATGCACCCCTTCTATTCTGTTTTTCTCTTCCCCCATAAGCTCTTAATCCTCACTCTCCCTTATGATATGGTTCAAAAATTGTTGTGAAATTCCTTTGTATTCTTCTAATTTATTTTCTAATCCAAAGATTACCCTTTCATATGCGGCTGTTTCAGTGAGACCTGCACTGCCTCTTTCTTTCTCTCCCCCTAAGAATTCTCTTCAAGCAAATTTACTAAGCCACACACTTGGCATTCTCATAATCATATATGACTTCAAGTGCATTTTAAATGAATATTGTTGCTCAGACAGATGGCTTCGCTCCCAATCTAAGTCATTTTTATTACTCATTACTGGCCCAAATCAAGGGCTTTTCAGTTCATTTATAGAATTACTCCAAAGCAGTCTCTCTCTTTTGTTACAATATGACAGATCTTTCAATAAGGACTGGTGAACTGTAATGCACACTGACAAAACAGTGAGTTAAAGCTGAAGCCAAAGCTAACAAAACCCACGGAAACTAGATTTAAAACTGTAAATTAGATTGTGAAATTGTTAGCTGTTTTTAAACAAATGCTTTTTCTCTACTGCTTTGCATAATTTTATTTACATTTTTTACTGGCTGTTAAAATTTCATCGCTTGATGGTACAATTCAGTATACAATGATAGAGATGGCATTTCTGGCCATGATGCCGACTTCTGCATTTCTCATAATACCTCTTCATCTGCTCTAAAAAAATAGATAAGAAAAAAAAGACCGGTATGATTTTCTTCAGATATTGATATTAAATTAAAACTTATCTACAGTTCTTAAATGAGAATAAGAATATTAAGAATGCCTGTTAAAAGATGCCATGTAATTATTAGTCCCTGTGTGTCCTTTATTACCCAGTCAATCACTGTTTAACATTCCGTGAAAGAGAAATACTAGATTTCAAGCATCTGAAACTTACAGAATCTGAAAGTATAAAGTAACACAAATCTTGTCATAAAGAATGGATTATTTTAACACTGTCATAAGAAAAGTAAGATAACAAAGACTGAGTGAAAATGCAGGCTTTAAAGAGTTCTCATTCAATCCAATTATCCCAATTCTCACTAAGTATATAAACATTCTCTCTGTATGTTTTTATTGTTTGCTTTTAACATGAATGATGTTTTATGGCAGTGTTTTTAAGTCATCATCATTGACCTGACTATGATCATAGTGATTTTAACATTAAAGTTGACCCTGCCATCCGTGGCAACAAGGTTAGATCAAACAGAGTGCTCCTGAGGTTCATACATTTAAAGTTTAATTTATCCAATATATCTTTAGTGAAGGAGAAGATGAAACTGCTAGGTTGTGATAGAAAGCTATTTGATCCTGTGCAGCCTTCTCTAGAGTTATTTACAGCTGCTAGTATAACTTCACGTTACGCTGCAAGCAAACAACAGTTGCTTCTAAATCTTTGGACATTACAGTTCAGATTTTACATTAGGTTCTTCAGATGTACAGCTGGGTTGGGTTGATTTGCTCAGCTACAAGTAAGTCAGTGGCTGCGCAGAGTGTTGCTAGATAAATAGAAATTACTAGTTTGTTGAAAGCGGGCAGCCTGTAAATCCCTACAGGTCAGCTCTAGAAAGGGATGCATGGATAATACTGTGTTTTCTACAGGAAGAGAAGACATTCCTCGCTATTTTTTTCTCTCTGCCCTCTATCAGTTTCACTCAAACACCAAGCTAAGACCAGCACAGTTTCCTAGTGGTGGAGTATTAAGAGAGGCATCTCACATTCTCTAATAATTGTAAATGTTACACATCATACGTATGAGTTATACCTTTTTCTGGTTATGTTCCTTTAACTCCAGGGAATAACCATTACAAAGAGACCAGGGAACAGGGCCATACGTCTCTTTGGTTAAGTGTGCAAAGGTATGGAGAATTCTGCTTTCAGACAAAATACAGTGCCAGCAAGTTACAAATTCTGGAAAGGGAATTCTGAAACACATCTCCTGTGGAAGTAGAGCCAGGGAATTACTTGAAGGCACAGGAAAGCATGTCCAGCCAGCAAGGGGGTATGTCACACACTGCCCTACCTGTCTCCATTCATTCCATCACTCTAACCCTTGTTTACATAGCCACCTCTGAAATAGTTGTGTCTAACATGCTTGTGAAGGTTGCTTTCTCAAATTAGGTGTAATAGCCTTTCTAATCACATTACAAGTTAAACAGTTACTCACATTTTTTGCTGATCCTGACAGCAAAACCATTAGGGAACACCTGCCTTATAGACAAAAGCTTCTGGCCTGATTGTTCAGCTGCACTGGGTGTGCAGTATGCACAAGATGTCGCATTAAGATTTCAGCGGCCCTTCACCTCCAAGGTTTTAGACAAGCTTGTGAACAGGGTAAAGGTAAAACAAGAGAACTTGGTGTTGCATAACTTCTGAGTTTACCAAAGCATGTAGTCTTACTAGGACTGCTTGAGCAAATTAACTTACACTGAAGGACTGAAAGTTCAGACTGGTCTTTGGGTTTTGCTCAATGATGGACATAGTACTGATTGCTTCAAATTTTAATCTCCACACTATAAAGCAGACATGATTATATCTGATTATTAAAAGTTATCACTTTGCAGAGGAGCAGCTAATATCTCACAGAAATCCCTTGAAAATACATTAAGTTTTCAAAACTTGCTTAGCTCATTTATGATACAGCTATACATTTTCCAACAAGGAAACAGGCTAGGGATCAATCAATCAGCTGATTGCTGGATCATAAAATGAGCTGTATTCCAAAGAGTGTTCGGTGTAAACGGGTTGTGTCTGTAAGCATATTAGTTTAATGCTAATTAATCGTATTAATTGAAACAGGCTGACAAAACAGTCATGAAATTTTTTTTTAATTCCTCAAAAACTGTAAACTGAATCGTTATAGTCTCTTGACCATGATATGTCACTGAATAGCCTCAATATGGACTTTAGACTCGATGCTGTTTCATCCATAATTATAGACTCACTTCTGAAGCAAATTGGAACAGGCAAGTGTAACTTAAAAAGCAACGTATAGCAATGGAGGTGTCCAA